CGACCGGTCCAGCGCCGACGGCGGGTGCGAGTGCGCGACGCTGACCTGGTGCGCCAGCGACGCCTCGTGGGCGGCCCGCGTTGTGGTAATGGCGAGTGAGCAGACGGGGCATGTCGGCGCGGGCTGCTGCGTGGTGGACGCCGCACCGTCCGCCTCTGCCTCGCCGTCGGGCTTGGCGGTGCCGAGAACGATACTGGCGTACAGGTCGCCGACGACGGAGCTGGTCGGTCTCGTCGATGGGAGCGTAGAAATGTAGTCGTCCGGGTCCTGCGCCCGAACAAACTCGACCCGTTTGCGCTTCAGCCCGGCGCCAAAGGGCCGCTTGTGGTGCAGAGGAATGTCATCTTTCTCGTCCTCTTCGCTTTCCTCGCTGTGCTGCGATCGCTGCATTGCCAAAAGGCCATCTGCCTGTCCTGACAGTGGTTGATGTATGTTGCAAACACTGAGCGCTGATGATGACCTTGGTGGGGCACTAGTTACGGATAACTACCGAATATAATTGAAAAAGAAACTGGAGCGAGGAGTAGGTACGAGGAAGGATTAGAGGTGAGGAAATCCAGCAGACCTTTATAAATATAGAGAACAAGAACTGAAGGAACAGTTTTAAGAGTGTGTTTGTAGGTAAAGCTCTTTGGTTTGCACTTTAGGCTGCTATCCAGCCGTTGCAAGCTGACACTTTGAACTTGCAGTCACAGTTCATCTCATAAGCTTAACTCAATTAAAACAAGCCATCATTATACAGACGACTTCTTCAACCCTCCGGCCGCCTGCAACCGCGCATGCACCCTCTGCACCCTCTTCGCGTCCATCGTCTCCCGCCAGGTGCAGCCCTCGGCAAACTCGCACGTCCGGCACTTGAACGCCTCGTCGACGGCGACGCCGGCCGCGCGCCGCTCGCCGCGCCACCAGGCCATGTACGCGCCCAGGTACTCGTCCAGCACGCGCGGCGACGCCGCAAAGTCGTGATGCCCAATCTCCCGCCCGTCGCCGCGGTACACGTACTGCACGCGCAGCAGGCCGCCCACCTACGCCGCGCCGTCGGGGAACGCCAGGCCGACCTCGCGCGCGACGAGCGGCAGCAGCTCGCGCAGACTCCTGTACGGCAGCAGCGCCGTGTCGACGTTTTCTTCTGCGTCTTCCGAGCTGGTGGGGGAAAACATGTCGTCGTCGTGGAGGCCAGCCATTTGCGCGAGAAAGGCGTCGGAAAACGGCTCGTCCGGGTCGAGGCCGTACCGGCGAAAGACTTTGTAAAAGTCGAGCCGCGCCGCCGCCAGGTCCGACAGGAAGCGGTGGTACAGGAGCAGCTGGATCTTGGCGGGCCGCAGCAGCGCGTTTGACACCTTGGCGAGCGAGCCTCGCGTCTTGACGTCGGCGAGATAGACCTTGGGCCCCGTTGGTGTTTTCGTCGTCGTCGAGGCAAAGTAGTCTGTTAGTTTTGGCCGCGTGCCCTCCGCTTCCTGGCTGAGCGCCAGCTCAAACGCCGGATCCGGGTTCTCATGGCTGAGGCTGTCAATAACGCCGTTGACGAGGTGCCCGCCGTCTAGGACGCCCCAGACCTCGAGCTCCCGCGTGAGGCCCGTTGCCCGGAGCGTGCGCAGCCCCTGCACGAAGTTCCACAGCCGGAGCCCGAAGCCGTCTTCCCGACTGAGCACCTCGACCTCGACCGTCACGTGCACCTCGTCCTCGAGCGTCTGGTGCAGCCGGGAGCCCTGCCGCATCGCAGCCGTGCGGGTCCGGCGCCCGCCCGGCAGCCGCGACAGCGTGTACCAGTACTGCAGCTCGCACCAGGCGCCCGCGGTCAGGTCCGAGACGGTGAGGGGCCGCCTGGGAAAGGAGCGGAATTTTTGGAGGGGCGAGCGGTGGTCGGCGAACTCGTCCTCGAAATCCTCGCTGACGGGTGCGGCCGGCGGCGAGGTGGCCGGCTTGTCAAGGTCCTCGAGAGCACGTTTTGCTGGGCGCTTCGAGTCAGTCAGTTTTTTTGTGGTTTCTTCTTTTTCTTAAAGAGAGTATACAGGTAGAGCGTGGGGTAAAAAGATGAGCATACAAGTCGGATAGCTAGTTTGGCCGGAGGCAGCCAGAAGCAACGCTGCTGGGGTGTCGTCAGCCGCGGCGCTCTTGTCAACGCCAGTCGAAGAGAAGCCATTGTCCGTCAACGCATCTGGTCCGAAATCCGACCGTGCAGGCAGGGCATCAATGGCGCCGGCGACTGGGTCCTTTGTCTCGGCGTCAGCGCACAGCTGTATCAGGAGCTGCTCTTCATCGGCTGAGAAATCGAATTGGAATTCGCCGTCCTCTGCTGCCATCATCTGGGCGCAGCAGGCATGGTGTGGTTGTAGGAGGCAAGGAAAATCGTTGAATGTGTGCAAGTGGCGTGCCGACGGCGTCTTTTGCCCCCCCCGCGAACTGCACGCGACATCACGTGTACCAGGCAGCACAGGCGGCTGGAACTGCTGGAACTCGATTTTCGTGAAGCCACTGCAGGTCATCTCCCATCAAAGACGATGTTCCTAGAAAATAATGAGAATCTTGGAATCTCTAGTGGGACAGAAGCAGCATCGCAGCGAGGCCCGGAACTGAGCTCGATTTCGTCAAGGTCTAGTAGGGGCAGCACAGCCGGTCAAATCAATGAGCTTATTCTATCGCAGTCTCTAAACAATCGTTGCACCTTCTCCGTCAACCGCTGCACAATCTAATACACTCTCTTCACAGCATGGTCAGCTTCGGCTTGCTGCCAGCCTGGCTAACCTTGGAGTTCTTCGCGCGCAGATCCATTTCCACCAGCAGCAGGGATTTGATCACGTCTGGGTTCTTGAACAGATCCGACCACCCAGTCGTCTGAACCCCACGCGGTATGTTTCGGACGATTTCCTCCTTGAGCCCGAGAATAATACCCAGATACGAGATAGTCTCCATAACCCCGTCCGGATCCTTGACGAGGGGGATGTTTGGATGGCTGACAAAGTGCACCGTGTGCGGGCTTAGAACCCGGCCCTGGTTGCCCGAAATCTCCTTGTTGACCTGCTGCATCTTGATCTCCTCAAACAACCGTCCGTACTTCATGGCGATGAGATGCTGCAGCGGTCGGATCGACTCCGTCTTGTCCGTCGGCCAGAGCGTGTCGAGCTTGTCCTCTCCGCCACCCCGGAGCAGTTTTGCGATTTGCAGGGTATGGTGCAGAGCGTAGAAGTTTGCGCGCGCCTCGGTCAGGTTCTGCACCTGGTCCACGATGAACTCGCGCGCCGACAGGGTGTCGGGGTCGATATCCGCCAAGGCCTTGGACTGCCCGACAATGTAGGCAATGTCAAACGTGGTCGGCATCGCGAGCGGCTTCGGCTGGATGTAGTCGGACGCCTTTTTGAGCTTCTCGAGCACCGTTGCCTCGTTACCCTTGAACAGACTCAGATACTTTTTTCTAAACTCCTCGGACGCGAGCTTTGCAATGTATTCCTTCTGGAACGTCTCGCCGAGCGGCTTCAGCGAAACACCCGAGCTGGTGGCCAGCTTGCCCGGCAGGTCCAGCAGAGCCTTGCGCTGCCGGCGCCGGACCTCGGTCGAGATGCCGGCGCGCAGCTCCGCGGTCGCGGCCTGCGTGCCGTTGAGAATGACGGCTTTCCTCGCAGCGTCCTTTTCGGCCTCCAGGGCGCTCTGCCCCGTGACGTTTGTCGCGGCAATGCTCGCGGCCACGTCGGACACGACGAGCAGCTCCTCGGCCGCGAACGTGCTGTTTAGCTTCTCACGAAACGTCATTTCCGGCGATGCGTACTTGTCCGAGTAGATGTACGTGTAAATGGTGTTGTCGAGGAAGTTGGCCCACGTCGTGTCGCGAGTTTTCAGCAGCGCGGGGGGCTCGGGCACCTCGGGAGGGACGAAGGCGTTGATGACGGCCCGGACCACCTGGATGACGAGGGCGACCGGCCACAACGGGGTGAACAGCAGGCCGTCGGCGAGAACACACAAGGTCGAATCGAGGGGGCTGATCTTGCCCTTTTCTCCCTTGGCGGCGGCGTCGGCTGCGCAGCCGACAAACGGGATGAGAGCCGTGATGGCAGCCGTCTTCTCCAGGGCCGACACTTTGCGGGCAAAGGCGTCGACGATGCCCAAGACCCAGAGGGGCTTGCAATTCTTTTCGAGGGGCTTTGCCAGCTTCCCCGCGATCCCATAGGCGGTTTTAAACTTTGGAGAATCGGCCGTGAGCGCCGTGTAGCCCAGCCACTTGCCGCGCAACTCGGTCACCGCCAGCTTCCACTTCTCCTTGGTCACCTTTGCCAGGCCGCGCGAGGTGGTCAGATCGATGAACTCCCTCTTGGAGATTTCTTCAGCTGCGGTTGCCCACTTTTCGGTGATTTCAGGGACTTCTTCCGCGCCGGAGCCGGAGCCGGCGTCGTCTGGAGTCGGCGCCTTTGTTCCTTCCTCCTCAGCGTTGCTTGGCTTTCCAGCCTCCTCGCCCGTGCTCTCGACGGCTTCCTGGTTGACACGCGCGCATGCCTCCGAGGCACCCGCTCTCTTGCGCTTCTGGCTGCTGCAGGGCAGCTTCCCCCACTCCTCCGCCTTGCGCGCCGCCTTGAACTGCACGTCGTCCTTGTTGAAGTTTCTCTGCAGCATGTACTCGTTCAGCCATTCCTCTACGGGCACGTCATTGAATTCCTTCCACGGCAACTCGGTTCTTCCGAGATGGCCCTCGGGGAAACCGGCGAGCTCAGAGCGAATCTCAAAGTCCCCAGACAAAGGAACTTCTTCGGGGAGGGGGTCGTCGGGGTAGACGTCCCCTTTGGAGATGAATTCGCTGAAGATGACTTCGCTGCCTCCCCCTTCGGCCTTGGTCGGCGTGCCTTCGTGCCAGCCAATGACCTGCTTCCACGGCACCTCGTAGACACCGGCGATTTCCTTTTCCTTGGACCACGTGAGGTGTCTGTCACCGCCCAGAGAGCCGGCGACGTCGACGACCTTGCTGGTCTCTGGTCGAATTTTGTAGATGTACGTCTTCTCTGCCGTCTGCTTGCTCGCAAAGTTGGTCGCTTCGTCCTTGCTGGCGCTCATGGAAACATAGGAAGAACAGGAACATGTTTTCTTAGAGTGGTGATAGACGCTGCTCCCGAGCTTGAACGCATCTTGTGTCATCCCTTTTGGGTAGTCTGGATGGGTTCCCTCGAAAATTCGCTTAGCATGGGACTCGAAACCGCCCGCTTTCCTGACGTCTTCCGGTTTCCGGAACGTCTCGCCACGCCAGAGCTCCCCCACCTTGATCTTGACCTGGCTGGTTGGCGCGCTCGGCTTCTTGATAGGGCCACCCAAACCTGGCGGTGGCGGCGGCGGCGGCGGCCCAGGTGGAGGTGGAGGTGGTGCCTGACGGGCATGAAGCTGCCGATGCGCTCTGTGGCTGCTGCGCTTACCACTCTCTATGATGTGACCGTCTCGACGTTGATGATGGGCAATGTGCGGCGTCTCCCACAGTGGCTCAGCCACCTGGTTGTTTGGCTCGCCATGTCTCAGTGCTGCTGCACCAGGGCCAAGGAGCAGGACGCATGCGCTCAAAGATGAAAGGCGCATCTTTGTAGTAGTTGTGTGGCCGAAAACTGATGAGGGCTGATGAAGTGCTCGATGACGATGGAATGATTTGCAAACTACTATTTATAAGAAATGCACAGTGCTCGACTCTCTTCACGAAGAAGGCTTGATGAAGCTCGAAATAGTTGCATAACGCAGACGTGGACTTCTTGGTCCGACCAGAAATTCCGAGTTGACTGTCCAACTTCCAGCACAATGCTGCTGAGCGGAAAACTGGGTATACATTGACAGCAACTTGCAACGTTGCATATCGTGATAGATGCCTTTCCATCTCCCCAGCGTGCATATCTGAGTTGTACTTTCTTGGCTCTCTCACTTGGTTCTGCAGTGTGCCGGCGCATAGTGACATTATGGACCGGAGTGTACGTCGGTAGTGATGATGCACGATTCTACATATATTCCGTCGGATTTATAGTTACAAATGAATTTACCGTATTAATGAGATGGATAAGACAATCAAGCCTATATAATAACGACGTCGATTATTCAATCGTCTTCTGTCCCATATTCCCCAGCTGAGGGGAGGAAAGCGGGCTAAAGCGGCCTTGACAGTCTGGGGTAGAAACAGATGTACAATTATTGAAAAGATTCAGGGTGGGTTATGGGAGTCGCATAGACGCTAGATGACACCCGTGAATCTGCTGGGAGCCGTCTTCACCTTATTGACACGGCACTCCCTGCATAGACAGGCGCCTCACTCAAGCCTTCCTCCCAGACAGTGCCTATTCGTTTGTTCAGGCCGACCTCTGGATTTCCAAGCACGTGCTCAATCCTATAACTCTTACTGCACTGATTTTGTTGGAAAATTTCTAGATCAATGCCATCATTGATGAATAGTTGCTGCTGTCACTTCGTCAAGTGTGCACCACGTGGGCTTGAAAGACGATGTCACGTATAGCCACCCCACTGCAACTTGCACAAATAGGCTCTGAGCTGTTGGTTTCGAGCGATGCGGCGAGATCCGTGTCTCAGCGGAACTGTGCAGCTTGCGCGCGTCTATCATGCCGCACGTTGGTTGATTGCGTGCTCCTGGACGCAACCGTTGACACACGAGTTGACGACTCGAGCAAGAATGACAACTACAACGCCATTGGAGTAGGGTAGCTCACCATCCTCCTTACTAAGCGCGGGCTATCAGGCGGAGAATACAAGCTTAAGCCTTGCAATGTTTGCAGCGCTTGCAGAGCAAGAGTAAGGACATGGTACTGCTTTCATGCGTCTCCAAAGTTCGGTCGGCCTTTGCACGTGCCATGCAATATTCTACGCGCGTCAGTACGCCCGCATTTTAAGGATAATATGAACTAGCTTGTTCTGAATCGAGCTTGTTCCTGACTCTTGCATAAAAACGACTTGTTCGTTGATCAAGAACACGATCTGGGTCACGAGAGAGGTGTGCCTGACACGAGGTCGTCATGGCAAAAAGATCAAGGATAAATGCCGAAAAGAAATCATGCGCGGTACAACAAATTTATCACTAGGTCGTAGGTTGCCGCGACCAAAGAGCCCTGCGGTAGTCCATATAAGCTTCTGGGTTGCTGCATTGCATGAAGCGTGTCCGGAGCCGGCATGAACAACGTTGACTCAGGTTCGTCTTGGAAGAACGCACGACATAGGACATGCCGTCGGGCCGCATGGGAGGCTGTACTGCAATAGTAAAGAACAGACTCGAGCCCCCCTCCCTGAATATTCCGACGCGGTTTTTACTTGTCATCGCTGACCCTGCAAGGCCGGCACTTGGTAATGCATTTTGGCCATGCATCGTATCATGTTGTTTACATGATGATCCCGAGGTGTGCTGAGCGAGACACTTGGGACAACTGGGCATATTCTCGCCCACAGAAGATCATACGACAATGCAGCACAGCGTACTCTGGGATGAAACGTTCTGACAAGTAGACGCTTGTGTGGTAAGCTTGTCTTGGTGTTATGCGCAACAAGAGGCGGCATGTTCACAACATGTCTTTGCATAGCTAGTGACAGCTTGATGAAGATATAAATTTGCGCACATCTCCCTGTATTATTCTCAAGTATGCAGCCTCAACATTGAGTTCCCTACACTTGCTATTCCATTCCCACAGTCTTGATCCTTCATTTTCCACCGAAAGCATCTATCAAAGGATCCTATCCTGTGATCAATCAAGATGGTTCGCATTACTGCTGCTGCTTTCTTAGCGTGTAAGTTCATTCCCTTTAGATCGCGTCGGATCGCGGACACTAAGCGCGCCTGTAGTTGTCGCCATCTCTTCGGCAGCGTTCTCAGGCGTCTCTGAGGGCATGCGTATTGCTGCGCGAGCCGATGAACCAGTGGCGGCCGCGGGGGAAACAGCGGCGACCACAGAGGAACCGGCGGCGGCTCCGGGGGACTCAGTGGCAACCCCAGAGAAACCAGCGGCCCCGGAGGAACCAGCGGCCCCGGAGGAGCCATTGTCGGCCCCGGAGGATCTGAAGAAGCTGGATACCCTGATTGATGCTGTAGGCACACTTTCAGATATGCTCAAAGGCCTGAAGCAAGGTGGCGGCGAGACGGCCCAAGGTGCTGGTGATGAGCAGAAGGAAGTTGCTGCGTGAGGTTCCACGTTACCAATCTTAACTCTAGTGGCGCTTGGGGGGAGGTATTTACACTATGAAACTTGTACCATTATATCAAGTAATAGTATGTATCTACCATCACTTGCAGCAGCTTGGTTGAATTGTTCGTGTAAAATAATCCCGATAGGTTTATTACGCCTGGTTACTACAGCTTGGGGACACCTTGGCGTTTATTACCAGGGTTGTAGGGTGTATGTTGTTTAGGCCAACTTGTTCACTCCCCCCTGTAGGTCTATGTCTTATGCTAACTAGGGGTACCCTGCAACTCGCGGAACGGCTCGCCCTTTAGCGGCTACTATTGTGGCAACAGGGGGTATAGCCGCTACAAAGCGTGTTTATTGTTTATCTGTAGGCTTACAACGCATCAGCTACACTACCGACGCGCGCGGGACATGTTCTGGGCATGGGTCTATAACGTGTATTCTTCCTACCTAGCAAGGCTGCTAGCACGTGTTCGACACCTTATCAACTTTTCTGCCCAAGAACTGAATAAAAAGAGCATGGTTCTGAGAAGCACGCAGGCACTTCTCACAGTGTTGGCCGTCACGCACCCCCCCGGCAGCCTTGTCCATCAATGACGTAGCAAACTGAACTTTTCGGCACACAGCTCGTCAACCGTGTGTGCCTCATCCCCATCGCGGGCAAGCTTGCTCATACCTCGATGGCACTTCTCTTCACGTCGGAACGTGCTTGACGGACGAGGGCCCGCACGTGGCAAAGTTGCAGCACACCCGGGGCCAGTACCCGCAGTGGAAGCATTTGCCCTCGCACGTCACCGACGTGCTGTTCTTGCAGTGATAGCACTCGTAAATGTCACCCATTGCGACTCGAAGAAGAAGACGAGGGTCTCAGTGTGCGTGAGAAGAAGAAGAAGAAGAAGCAGAAGAAGAAAACCAGCGTTGTGTGTCCCTAGTAGAGGGAAGGCTATAGCGAATCCTTCGAGTAGATGGAAGGCTATAGCGAATCCTTCGAGAAAATTCACGTCGCTCCTATCAAGGGCGAACACACTGCTTTATAGTCGCCCGGAAGCAGGGGAAAGAAAGGCAAAAAAAAAAGAGCCTTGGCTTTGGTGACACTGGGATGATGCGGTCGTGTCTCAGCCAACACTGTGATGCTGGGCCTAAACATTTGTAGGACCATGAGGTGGCCTCGGACCTGTCACGAGACGGAAAAGGGAAGCACATTTTGATGGGAAAGAAGAAAAAAATATGCAGCGATACGCTCTCATTTTCAGAGTGAGGCTTCGCTGCATATTGTGGCACGGTAACTGAGACTGGGCGGCTGGATGAAGCCAATAGTACCACATGTTGGGATAGAGCCGCATTTCCAAGATGCGAATTTGATCAAGCACAAGACGCTGTCCCATCATCACAAGAGAGAAGGTACGTGCTCTTCCCGTCCTATAATGGAAAAATAAGTGGCGGGCCGTGTAGCCCTGCCCTATTCAGTGAAGGCGGGTGTCCTCCAAGTTGCGCGTCAGGTTACCATCAAGGCAACCCATTCTCTCTCCCGCTATACCTTCCCACCCTGGTCCGTTTTCAGAATCCCGTTGCCTAACAATGCCCCCCGGTCTGCCAGCTCAGCCTTTCCAGCCCGGAGTGGAGCCCCGCCCAAGCCGCGACAAGGCAGCAGAATTCCGGCCAACAAAGGACAAGTCTACAAACGAGCCCAACTACAAAAAACAAAATCCATCTATAAAGACACCTACGACGGCCATTTTCTTTTAACTGTTTTCCATCATTGCTTCCCTCTTGCTTCGTCGTGGATTGCTTGCCCCCCGCCTCCCATTATGACGCCGTCCGCCCACCTCCGTGGCGGCCCCGCCCCGACGCCGTGCAACCCAGCATCATCCCCGACGGGCTTCTCGTCTCTCCCGACGGAGCTGCACTCGCTCGTCGCCCAGCACCTGTCCTACCCGGACGCCCTCTCGCTCAAGCAGACGAGCCGGCACTTTCGCGCCCTGGTCCGCACCGGCGCCGCGCTCAAGGTCGAGTGGCTGCTCGAGCGCCGCCGCCTGCACCTCGACTGTCCCAACAGCCGCAGCTGCGATTTAGGCAGCGACTTGCGATTCTGCCGCGGCAGCGTTCAGTGCGTTTTTGTTCTATATCTTAAGTATGCGACTGAAAACTATTTGCTAATTGTTCATTGGTTTATGAAAAGGCTCCTGATGAGGGCCCGCAGAAAACACTTTGAGTGCGAGTCCCGTCCTGGGCTCGGCTGTCTGGTCTTTGACACGCCCAAGTGCCGCCACAGACCCAGAGGACTGCGATGGCTGACGCGATGGGTCACGATACGATATGAGCCTATTTTGTTTTGTATACCACTCACAATCATCATCCACCTGTTGATTCTTTACTTGCCGATTTGTGTCCTAGTGACAGGACACGCTGGCCGATGGGCGGCAAACGCGGTTGGCTGTTGACAAAAACATCAATTTTAGCAAATAACTAATGTCTACTATTCTAATACGATTGCATTTTGAACCGTTTCAGGTCGGCTGGACTGGAAAGCAGACATGTTTCAGCGCTTCTGCTGTTCAGAGTACCTAGACGCACGCACTCCTTGTCTTTCATCACCTTGTCGTTTAAGCAAGCGTTTCACTGCCATTGTTGACTGAAGACGACCAAACATGTAGTTTGCAGCTCTCCCTACACAGTCCTGACTTTATTCGACGCAAAGTTCATACCTCACTGCCCATCAGTTTTGTATATAAGTGCAGCCATCAACCCGACTACCCCGAACCGCTCCAATTGCGCAACTTGTTTCCTCGTCAAGATCCCGTCCCCCAAAACCACCTCTGTCCAACATGTATGCCGCCGTCGATATTCTCCAATCCGCCGCCCTTTTGTGCACCGCCCTCTGCAGCGCCGCGCTCCTGTACACCGCGCACCGCATCCGCCACAGCCTGCGCAGCTCCGCGGACCAGCTCCTCGACTTTGCCGCCGAGCTGCTCGACCTCATCGACCCCGTGCTGCCGCCGCCGGCGGACCTCGCCACGCCGCCGCCGGCCTCGGCCCACGTCGACTTCTTCGAGGATGCGGCGCACCCCGGATGGAACACCCCGCTCAGCCCCGCGCCGTCGTCGTCCGCCCCCAGCTCCCCGCTGCGCGAGCTGCCGCTGTTCTCGCTCGACGAGGAGCTGAGCACGCCGGGGGCTGCTGCGCGGCCAACGCCCCCGGTCCGCCGACTGAGCTATCCGGAAACACGCCTGCCCAAGAAGCCGACCGGCATCTATGCTTATAAGCGCCCGGGCCGGGTCGTCGTGCCCCGGGTGTCGGTCACGATGCATGGCAAGAAGGAAGGCGACTCTGGGTGCAGCGAGAAATGTGTCTGACGGGTTGGACGGACTGGAGAGCAAGGCTTGGGGATAGATTTACTGATTTGTTAGGGAGGAAGTGCCTCGTTCTTGTCGCACCGTTTCTGTTATTCGTGGTACCCCATTTGCGTTTACCTGTATCCTACTACTTTAACCTTATGCATGACCTTGGGCTTTACGTGGTCCTGCCTGTTTCCTGAATATCATCATCTTTGCAGAGCCAAATAGGCTTCTTATAGTCAAGCTAACTTTGTTTATCGCGTTATTTCGATTCCGTTGTCCAGTTGTGCCACGTCTCCAAGTAATTCGTGCTGAACTAGTGCGGCTCCGGCTCCGGATTGTGGCTTACAGGGTGACATCGCCCACGAAATATATTCGGGGTTTTCTTCACATTGAAGCTGTGGACTCATGGTATGATTGAATAATTCGATAATTAACGTGTTTCATAATTCGTTTCAAGCAAAATGGTAGTCTAAAGCTTGCCTCCAGATTTGTAAAGCAACGCTGTCTTGTAAACCCTTGACCCGGTACTCCAATTCCATAGTATCTCACATAAGCCGAGCGCCATTATTCATCGGCCCAACACACATCTTCGTCATAGTCTCGCGAGACTACTTTCAGTGTCTATTTCGCCCAAATCATTTACAGCAGGGCAGCGGCAACGGCAGCGGCGCCCGCGTACATGTAGCCAGGAATGGCAGTGGGCGCGGCGACGTTGTGCGTGCCCTTGATGGTGGTGGTGAGCTGGTCCTTGTGCGACGGCGCCGTGGCATCGACGGTAATTGTGGCTGCAGCCGCAGTCATGGTCGGGTTGTAGTGTGCAGACGAGAAGCCGCACCCGGAAACGAGACGGTCAATGTCTGCAAGTCAAGAGTCAATCAGTATCTGCTATTCTCCCAGGCGGTGCGTATACGACTTACCCTTGACGTCGTCCGAGTCAATGTCATCATCATTCTCGTGGCTGCCGAGGCTGCGCTTGGCCTTTACGTGTTGATGCATGCAATCGGCGCACTTAGCGGCGATCTGGCCGACATTGAAGCTGCCGTTGGTGCAGACGCACTGGTTGTGGAGGAGGTCCTCGTCCTTGCCCCGGCCAATTCCGAGGCTAACGTCGCACTGTTTGGAGAGGGTGGCTATGGGTGTGCAGATGGTCCTGCAGGACCGCGGCACGTCGTCCATGTCGAGCTTGAGCTCTTCGGTGGAATCGTCAAAGAGGTCGGCGGCGGCGACCGAGGCCAAGGGCAGGACGGTGAAGGCGGCAAACTTCATCGTGAGAGGAGGTCTTGTGATGGCTAGGAGGCAAAGAATAGAATGCCGGGCAGCAGGAAGAGGATTGGCGTTGTTGAAAAGAGGCGCAAGCGTGAGGGTATGAGTGGTGATGGGAAAGAGCACTCTGGGGTGAGGGTTGGGCAGGTATATATGCGCGGAGATAATCACCGAGGACCCGTCAGCCACAACGTCATGGGAGTAGAGACGGAGAAATCCCAATGCGACAGTGACGGCAGTGTAATCTGTAAAAGAGAGTCATCTTCGTGCAGGGATGCCCAAGGGTGGTGGGTTTGGAGCCTTGGACCGCGACGCCTCAAAAAAAGGTCCCCGGTCCCGCATCGCCGGGTATGCGGCCGGCGATGGTGTGTACAGCCTTTTGTTCATTTGCGGCACCAGTCATTGTGATTGGGTCGGCCAAGTCGTGCCACGCAGGCTCTGGGATGAAGTCTCGAGAGCGGTTGTGCAGAAGGGGAGAAGAGGAAGCGGATCGGGTAAGCAGAGATGCGGGACGCCGTCGTGGATACTGCATTGGGAAAGGCGCAAGGCTGGCGACGCGGGATTCGGGAGACGGGTTTTGGCAAGGTTTTGGATTCGATGAACTGCCTGATTCAAGTAGCAATGTGTAGAGTATTCTTGTATGTGGTCGTTTGCTTGTTACAGGAAACTGCTGGTGCGGTGTTGGCTGTTGGCATCCGCCTGGCAGCTGGCAGCTGGCAGCCCAAACAAACGGACCATGTCCTCTAGGAACTTGGAAAAACATACAGCCATTGGATTCGCTAACCCTACCATGACCATTACCACGCCCGGGTAATCTCCTTTTGCCACACAAACTACATTCATGGACTGTCGCCATCGACATTCTTCTCGTCAACCTTACATGCCACCTGACGACCCACCCCCCACGAATCCCGTCCAGGTAACCCTCACAGCTCAAAACCAACGAGAACCGCTTCCACCTCGAATCCCGCACCAATGCGAGGACCATGACGACGCCCGTGTGGCTGTGCGCCGGGCGCTATTTCGATCTCTTTGATTAATCCCGCTGTGCCGAATCAGCCTGCAGGTCTCTCGATCCAGCGAGGCAACGAACCCGTCCTTGTTCGCCGTTCTGTTCGTTCCTGCTCGCATCACCAACGAAGCTCGTGGTGGAACCTCGAACTAGCCTGGCAGGGCAAGCGGTGCTGCTACGCCGCTCTGATGCTCAACCACTCTTTTCTTCCCCAAGCCCGGTCAAATCAGTGCTTCCCGGTCTACATACCTATGCACAAGTTGCGCTGGCCATGAACGAAGCTGTGTTTTTCTTTCTCGCCGGGTACGGCACAGCTCGCAAGCCACCCGTTTTTTTAAATATCGTGGCTGGCCCAGTGGCGCACTCGGCTGATTTGGCTCCTTGTTGTTCGGGCTTCGCATGAGCCACCAAGCGAGATCCGTCCGTCGCCAAGAGTGCATGTCTCGCTCTACGGATATTGTCTCACAGTCTCACACCCACTCGCCCACATGCATGTGCATCAGCTTTGCAAGATGAAATATTTCTCTTTGTGGTCGAGAGGCTCCTGGCATCAGTGTTTTTTGACGGCTGGGCAACTTCGCACCTTCTGTTAATACTATTCAGTGCTGTGTGGAGTTTCAACCCTCATTATCACAACAACACTGTCCTAAACGCATACCTTCTCATTTTCGACAATATTGTGCAAGCTGTTCCGAGTTGTTAGCTTGGCGGGCGGCAGTCGTCCACAACCGAAAGCACACTACCTGCAGTGGTGGTCTGCAGCAAGAAATAACCATGTAATTTAGGTTAAGAATAACAATGCACCCTAAACGATCGACATGGCGGTAACCATAGTCGGCACCCACAGGCTAGACCCGGAATCAACCGTTGTGCTCTGTATCATCTCGACTTATCACTTATTCAGAGACGTGTTGATTCTACCTGCGTCGTAGTCTGGCATGATTGGCGGACAAGTGGTATCTGTCCCTTCTTTCCGCCTTCAATCTACGTTTGGTGTAGCTCCACGCGGGTGCGTCGCTATAAATAGGCACCTACGAGCATGGAACATGCATCTACGTGAATGCATATCCTTGTTGCAGTCTTGCCAGTCTTTCCTCCATCTCGGTCAGTAGCGGGATTGTGCCTCACTCCTGGAGGCACCTTTTGGTGTAGGGTAAGAACTCGCTTCCAGTATCTGGATAATTGGTGTAACAAAATAAGGTTTATTTTCTTTTATTTCAGGAACTTCATATATAGTCAACCCTACCTTTTATTGACTATTCTATAGTACAAATTGATGGTCTTAGTCTGGCTTGAAACTTGCTGCGCCAACTTGGGAATTCGGCATCGACCAAGCAGCTGGTGCAGGTGCACAGTGCGCCACTCAATTCACACGGTACCTCAACGTCTGGCAGTATCTCGTGATTTCCGGTGAAACCAACATCCTTGACGAGGTATGATGGGTGACAGCCAGCACTGGGCCAGTCGGTGTAGCTTGGAGTCGATGATGCACACGCTTTTTGCACTGCCGAGTGGCGATGCGGCCATGCTAAAAGCGGGCAGCACGGTCAAGACGGGGCTGTGCGGCAGAAAATGGTGAGGCAGGGCTACCATGGACTCTGTTTGCGGTGGATAGCTTGGTTTTGGTTTTTTTTTCAATCTTGATACCATCGATAGAGCGTCATCTTTTCACCAAAATAGCCAGTCACCGATTTTCGCCGTTACGCCCAACGTCGCCCGCCGCCACCTCCGGAGAGTCGACGCTTATCAATCCGCTCGTCTCCGCATTGAACCCTGGCCGACAACTGAACAGCGCATCACAGCTTGAAGCGCACGTCTGCATGCGAGAGGCAGCTTATGAGACCGAGGCCCGGAAGCAATTTGCAAGTGAGGGCATCGCAGCATGGCAACGTCCGAGTTTATGCCGAATGAGCCGGCGGCTCGCCGAGCGGTAGGACGAGACACTGGGCAAGCCCGCTCACTGAGAGACGAGTTCATGAGCTAATGTTGGACCGACACAGTGCGACCAATGCAGGCGCAGCAAGGTAGGGTGTATAGAAGCACAGGTTCGAAACCGGGCTGACCACACAATTGGCGCCATAGACGCGATGCGATAAAAAAGTGCCCTGCTCGAGCTGCAAGTCGGCCAAGCGCACATGCACAACGACGGGCGCCGACAACCCGGGGCTGCAGCGCAAGCAGCGCATTCACATGTCATCGCTCTAGTGCGTATTTTCATTTTCATTTGTATTTGAATTCGAGCTAGCTTCAATCGCTCGCTGAACGAGACCAGACTGACGCCTCCAACCCGCACAGCGAGCAAAAGATTGACCGCATCGAGGCCAGCCTCGGCAGCATCGAGCGGCTGCTCAAGCGTCGCGAGAGCCAGCGCTCGCCGGGCGACCGAGGCCACGTCCCCGACGGCGGCATCGCCTCGCCCAACGCGAGCGTCACCATGTCCGACTCGTCGGCCATCAACACGCCCGCCAACATTGACTCGACCGAGCCCGAGCCCGACCAGGGCCTCAATGTGCAGACCGACATCACCGTCGCGCTGCTCAAGCAGGCCGTGCGCAGCACCACGCTCTACGGCGTCGACGCCAAGATGGGCGCCGCCCTCGGCAGCCTCTATGATCTACTGGGCAAGCGTCACCTGCCCAGCCCGGCACGCGGCGCCGGCGGCGGGGCGTCGCCGTTTCCCATGCAGAAGCCGGTGCCACCGGGAGGTGTGGGCAAGCTGGAGATGCCGCCGCTGCAGGTGGCACTCACCGCGATGGAGAGACTCACATGTAGGATATTTCTGTCCTCATGGAAAGGTCTTGTAAAAGGCTTTCTTGCCGTTTTGCTAATGTTGGTGTTGTTTTGCAGATGATCCACCGACGCTCATTACAATGCTCTGCTCCTCGATTGGTTTGGACGATATTGCGGCCGTCTGCAGACGCGAGTACGAGCATCTCGACAACATATCGAGCGTCCAGTTTGTCCTCATCAACTCCATCTTGTACTATGTATTTGAGGAAATGAGCATGCTGGGCATCTCGCCGGAGAGACTGGCGGAATACAAGGTGCATGCTGAGCTGTGCCGGGCAAACGTCGACACCGGCCTGGCCAACCTGCCTCTGCTCCTGTCTTCCACGGCGCAAAACGTACAAGGGCTGTTATTAGGAGTGAGTGCCCCCCTCCTTCCTCATCCGGGCGACTCCCGCTCAACGCAAACAAAAAGGCCCTCGTCTCCATCGACCAGTCGCGGCCGGCCGTGGCGTGGCAGCTGTGCACCACGGCCGCGCAGCTGTGCATCGCGGCGGGCTTCCAGAGCAAAAGCGCGTCGGCGCACAAGACGGCGGCGGACACGCGGCTGGAGCGCATCCTCTTCTGGAACGTGTACATCCTGGACAAGGCGCTGTGCCTGCGGCTGCACCGGGGCTCGTGCATCCCCGAGTACGACATTGACATTCCGCGCGAGTTCTACTTCCACTACCCGGCGCTGGCCGACACGACGGGGCTGACGCATTTTTGGGTGCGCGCCAGCATCGCGCAGGGGCGCATCTACGAG